GTGTGTGTGTGTGTGTGTGTGTCTGTGTGTGTGTGTGTGTTTGTGTGTGTGTGTGTGTGTGTGTGTGTGTGTGTGTGTGTGTGTGTGTGTGTGTGTGTGTGTGTGTGTGTGTGTGTGTGTGTGTGTGTGTGTGTGTCTGTGTGTTATGTCTGTATGTCGCATACCTCATGAACCGATACACAGAAAAACACCAAATTTTAAACTTAAGCTTTATTCCAGCGTCTAATGAACTGATTAGATTTTGGACAGAGTCGAAACATCTGGGGGGGTACTTTATAGGTGGTCATTTTTATATTTTATGGAATATATCTGTTATTTACGTTTGGAGAAGAAAATTCTTCAAATAAAAGTTACTTTTAATATAATTATCTATAATTTCTGTTCTATACAAAATTTTCCTAAAATGGTCCGTATTCGAGAAATTTGACAAAATGTAAAAAAATAATTTTTTATAAAAATTGTTCAAATAAAAGTTGTTTGTAATATTATTATCTATAATTTTTGCTTTATGTCAAAATTTCCTGAAATGGTCCGTATTCGAGAAATTTGACAAAATGTGCAAAATTTTGATTTTTATGAAAATTGTTGCACTAAAAGTTGTTTGCGATATCTATAATTTTTGTTTATACATGATTTTTCTAAAATGGACCGTAATGGAAAAGTGCTAAATTTAAATTTTTCAGTATTTTCGTTTTCAATGAATGTCTAGAAAAATATTTCGAGTTATATGTATGTGGAAAATGTATAATTTAGTTTATCCTCTAAACATTTATAGAGGTACTGCAATAGGTTGTACAAAATAAGAGGAAAAAGCCTATAATAATTAGATATGAAAGTCATGTGTTGGACACATCAGATTTTTAAATATATGACCAACGTTGCCAAAATTGTTTCCAAATTAAAATAAATTCCGCGTGGGTTGATTCAAATATACCTGATATTAGAAAATCTTTCTCAATGTATAAAATGCATGAATGTCTAGACTAAATAAATGGAATGACTTCGTTAAAATATACACATTTTTATTAGCAAAACCAAATATGCTTACCAGACTGATTAAGAAAAGTTACTAATAGGGGGTTAGAGTCGGGACTTTTGGATCCAAAGGTTCCGGGTTCGAATTTCGCCGGTGACGGGATTGATTTTTATTTAATAGTATTATTAAATTCATTGTAGCTTTGTCCACCCTACATTTATATGATGAAATGGTTTCTTACAAGCAATAAACACAACCAAGAACAAAAAAGTCAGTTTTACTAAAACGACATACATTATCAGAGAGTTATTGCAAGTTCAACTAAGATCAAGCACTATTAGTGACGCTCTTATTTTGACATCTGAGCATGCGCAGATCACTTACATTTAGCACTGACTTTAATAAAAATTGTGCCTGTTCTTATGGATGTTTAAGGACTTTATAGTTTTCGGGTACGCTCGCCAACATTCGTACCAGTTCGAAATTTTTTAATATAAAATATTTAACATTATCTGATTTAGATAAATCTAAAATGGTAATTTCTAATGCCTCTTCCATATTATGTACTATTACAAACAACCAAAAAGATGAACTGTAATTTAAATTTTTAAAATGAGGTTAGAAATATGTTTTAGGACAAAAGGACTATAATGTCAAAATTTCAGGTTTGCAATAAGTCTTCTTTTAGCATAGAATTTATTTGCCTCTAATTACGTTGTCACTATTAGTGGCTGACGTTATAGAAATTTGCAATCTCTCTATTGAAGAAAGGGTTTGCTCTAGGAAGTTTTTACTAAAAATGAGTTGCAAATCATTTTAAAATCCTGAAGCTTTAACTATAAGAAGTCCAATAGGTCCTTGTTTTGTAACCAGTGGCGGTTTGCCCGTAAGGGCACTTGGGCACGTGTCCTAGTATAAAAAACAAAACAAAAATAACATATTTTATATTTTCCTCAATGCCCATTATTATTTTATCTAATATTCAGCGCAAACCGCGTTGGCACGACACTGGACGACCGAGAGTTGAGCGACGTTCCGAGAATTCCGAAATTAAGTGGAAGATGGGCACAGTAAATGTTGTTAATTGTTGTTTTCTCTCTCATTATGATGCGAAAAACAAGGACAACTACAATATCGTTTAGCAAGAGATGAACACATGCGATACGAATGTACGGCAGCGGCATCTTTACCGGCTCTCTCACAAAGGCGATGCGTTTCGGCTTAAGGTGCGCGTTTGTTGGACCATGATAATAATGTATTTGTGATTACGAAAAAACGTTAGTAGGACCATTGGAATAGTTAAGAAATAAAACTACAAAGAAAAATAACTTTTTTTTATAAAGCAGTAAAAATTATGATGAAAAAAAATCAATAATATTTATAACTGGGACAAAATTTTAATTTTTCTTTTGGTTTTTTCTGACTTTTTCGAGGATTTCAAATCTCTGTTTGCATATTTAAGAGTATAACAAATTCTGAGTCTTATAAATAATTTAATGGTGTACATTTTCGCAAATTCTATTTTGCTCATCTAAAAAAGGCATGCGTTGGAAATTCCAGGCTTAGTTGACAAACTATCAAATAGAGATATTAATTTTTTTTCTAATTTGAAAATATAAAAGAGAAATTTTTCGCTGGGAGATTTTAAATTGCCAAACACCTTTTCTTCAGAGTCGTATGCTTTAAAATGCGTTAACAAGTTAGAATTGTTAAGTAAATTGCATTCTTCTGAAAAATTTACGCAAATTTCGCAAGAGTAGATATGTAATGATTTTTTTATTAAATAGCCACGTACATAGTTAAATGCATTTTGAGTGGTCACATTTAGCTCCCTGTAGTCACATTCAGAAATCGTTATTGTCCCAACTGATTGTTTTGAAATATATTTAATTTTCATTAAGCGGAGAACTTGTTTTCCTAAGGGAAAAACGAATCCCGGGATTCCTTTCCAGTGTGTGCCCCACTGCCGCTAGTGCCCACGAGCCGCCACTGTTTGTAACTACTTTTTACTAAAAACTTTTTGTAGCCAACCCTTTTTTCAATAATGTATGTTCTTTTATTTAAAGCACTCTTGACTTTTCTTGCTGTTGGTTGTGTAATCTCATATATATTTTAAAAACTTTTTTTCAAATGTAAGTATAAATAAAATTCATCTCTTGCTTGCAAATTAGTATACTTAAACCTATTATTTTATTTAGGGTGTAAAAATCTGCAATTAATTTAATAGTGAATGATAATTACAAAATATTACTCTAAAACCTTACCATTAGCCTTTAAAAGATTTTTTTTAAAACTAATGTACGAACCCAAGTAGAATATTTTGTCAACTCACTTTTTTTATTGATATGAGTAGGACATAAAATTGTGCCACTTTGTCTATTGAGGTGCCATTGTGTATTTTATATACAAAGTGTGCTACTTTTGGACGCCACTCCACCCTTAGCAAGCGGGAGATGCCATTATTTTAGTCTACGAACCGTCCACGAAAATTTTTTTTCCTACGACCACTTAGGAAAGTGTCACATATCACACTATATAGACCTATAGAAAGTGCCCTATATCACACGCGTATGAATAAGAATTTACTTTCCACCCAAGTGAGAATATGCTACTTTCCGCAGTAGCTGTCAGAAAATGTCAAACGCATAATTTCTATTTTGATCTATGTAATGTCCATATTAATACTAAAATCGATATGATTGTTAAATTATTGTAAATTAGATCCTAGATATTTATCTTTAACAATTATTTTTAAAATAATTTTAAAATAACTAAGATATATTTGCTTTTTATTCTGGTTAAACACATAAGCGATTAGATCAATCAATTACCGTAAGGCCTGTTAGCTCAGTTGGTTAGAGCATCAACTTTGCAATTTGAGACCGTCCAACGACCGCGATCGAATCCTGGCTGTGCCAGAATTTTTTTTTTATTTTTTTTTTTATTTTTTTTTTATTTGTTTAGAAATTATGAAAATTTAATAAATACGATTATTGTTGATTATTTTTTTAAATACATTTTAATTATTATAATAATCTGGTTTTACATTTTTTGATGAAATTATTTTGTGGTCGTAGGAAAAATATTGTACATCACTTGTGTGAAAAGTGATTTTCCACACTCGTAATGTAATATACTATATTGTGCCATTGGTCAAACTAATTGTGCTATTTTTCGCTTGACTGTGCCAAAGCGCAACTGCCAATTGTCATGAGTCGAAATAAGCAAACCTAAATATATTTGAGAACTCAAATGGTACATGTGGAGTAAAAGATGTAGAGTGAGTTTTATTTACTGAATGCAGTTAAACATTTTAAATCACCAACGCAGCTTGAACTTGATCAGTGTGACGTGAGCAGATATGAGTAGGACATAAAATTGTGCCACTTTGTCTATTGAGGTGCCATTGTGTATTTTATATACAAAGTGTGCTACTTTTGGAACGATTGCGCGCACCCAGGAACAACACTGCAGTCTTGGCCGCTCTTCGACGGTTTATAACAAAGGCGAAGATGTGCAAAATTGTATTCTATATTACAATAAATTAGACAGTGTAATGGAAAAACACGTTAAACTAACAAAGACCTTGAGCAGTGCGTTACCTATTCTGTGACTGACGCACGGTACGTACGACTGCCATCTGACTCCCACATCGCTCGTCTCTAATGGTCTATTTTTTAATTTTCATACCATTTGTATATATTTATAAGATTTAATTTTACCCGTACCTAATATCTATTCGAATCTCTCTTAATTTGAAGCTTTTATTTCTGGCATTTTCAATCAAGTCTAATAAATTATAAACTGAATTTCATTTCTCTTATAAATAAATCTGAAACCTTACAGTAATTGTAGTAATAGAAATAATTTGTAGGTATGTGGTACAAAGAACTATAGAAATATCGCTACTGAAGCATTCCTACACAAAACATCTTAAATGATAACGAACACTAAATGTTAGTTTGTATTTTACTTTAAATTAGAAATGGTAGTGAATTAACGAATCTTTGTCTTTTTATTACAGGTGATGGAAACTAAAAACATGATCTACCTGGTGTCCGAATATGCTAGTCAGGGAGAAATTTTCGGTAAGTATTTAAACTACTAGTATAGTACCAATAAAAACTCCCAGAACCGGATATTTTGGTAAGTAATAGAGATATTTTAATTCTGTAAAAGCCAGTTCACAGAGCCCTAAGAGAGCTTCAGTTTTGGATATAAATTGATTTTAAATAGGTCAATATGTAGATGGCGCTGTGCTTATTAATTTTTTTTCGATGGGAGGATGTTTCTTGTGTAGCGCATCTTCTGAAAAATGCATTTTTAAGCAGATTTTGTTCTATGAACTAATTCGATAAATTTAGCCATTTTTGATATACAGAGTGGGTTACTCAAAACAGATTCATCCCGTTTTTCAGCATTAATCATTGGATTTTAAAAAAATGCTAAAACAGCTCGATTTTTATTCCAAATTAAAAACATTTTTACAATACATAATTCTCTAAAATGGACCGTATTCGAGATATTTGAGAAAATGTGTAAATTTCGAAATTTGAAGAAAACTCAAAAACGGATAAAGAAAAAAACATTAAATTTTAAATTTAAGTTTTATTTCGACCTGACGTGAAATGATTAGATTTTGGACAAAGTCGGAACTTTATGGTAGGCCGTTTTTATATTTTATGGAATATATCTGTTATTTATGTTTGGAGAAAAAAATTGTTCAAATAAAAGTTACTTCTAATAATATTATCTATAATTTTTGTTCTATGTAAAAATTTCCTAAAATGGTCTGTATTCGAGAAATTTGACAAAATGTGCAAAATTCTGATTTTTATGAAAATTGTTGAAATAAAAGTTGTTTGCGATATCGATCTCTATAATTTTTGTTTATACATGATTTTTCTAAAATGGACCGTAATAGAAAAATTGTAGGAAAAGTGTTAAATTAAAATTTTTCAGTATTTTCGTTTTCAATGAATATCTATAGAAAAATGTTTCGAGGTAGATGTATGTGGACAATGTATATATTTAGTTTATCCTCTAAACATTTATAGAGATGCTGCAATAGGTTGTAAAAAATAACCGGAAAAAGCCTATAATAACTAGATAGGAAAGTCATGTGTTGGACACATCAGATTTTTTTTATTTGTATTTGTTTTATTAACTGGCTTATATTGAATTCTACACAAGTGAGCAATTAAAGAAGACACTGTTGTGTGTCCAATTTGACCTAATTGGGTCTGTAATGTTACTTCTTTAATTCCGTAATAAATTAAACTAACTATTTGTTTTTGAGTGAACTGAATTTTTAAACTATTTAATTTTTGTAATTTAAGGCGAGCATATTGGCCGTAAGTCGAACAACCCTCGGATGTTGAAGAAAATAGCATCGCATCATGCATCAATTTACCAAAATTTACTCACCCTGTAAAACTTAAACAAAGATCTTCTTTTAAAGCCTCCCAAGTACGGTTCCCCGTTGGAACCTAAGCGTGAAACCACTCTCCTGCCTCCCCTTCAAACAAACCTCCCACTCGAGCTAAAATTGTTGCATCATTCCATTCAAACAAGGTGGCCAATTCAGAAATTTCGCGCGTCCATTCTTCTGGATTATTTTTTCCAGGTATAAATCTTGGCAAAGTAACCGAATCGTGTTGTACGGTAGTTGGTACTGGCACAGAACGACTGTCCGCTCGAGATAAAAAATCTGTAAGTAACTTTTCCAAAAATTTTCTCTACGCTATTTTGTCTATTTTCACTAACTACTGTTCCCTCTGTGTCAGTAACATCATCTGTGACAACATTTGTTGCCCTATCAAAATTAACATTGTCGTTATCCTGTTCACTCATATTTAATCTAAAACAATAACACGCGAAAATCAATTTGTGTTCTTGTCTTTTAGAACAAATACTAAATAACAAAAACCATTCGTCTTTTGTTTGCATTTTCAAACTAATTTTATCAAATGTACACCCATAAAAAACGCGTCAAACAAACTTCTACTACTTTTTATTACTTAATGACTCATATATTATATGACCAGACTGGTGAAACGTTAGTGTGCAGAATTAAATTGTCCGTTTTATTTGAAAGTTTTAAGTACACGATTATAATTAATTAATCGAGTTTTAATACTAACCCACAACAAATAAATAATAAGGCCTTTATTTTACTTAAATACAATAATTAGAGATGTTAATGGCTTGAATATTAACTAGGAACCAACCTTTAACTGCATAAACTACTTTTATATAAACAAACTATTTAAAAATTTTAACTATGCAAAATATTATCTTCTATAGTATGGGTGATATAACTCACGCTTTACTGTTTTTAAATTTTATCTAAAGGCCAAAAGAGCAAAATATAGAAAAATCAACCTTAAATATTCAACTTTTGAGACAAAATCACCATTTAATTAGGAAATTGACTTCCAACAAATCAGCACACATAAACTATAATATAAACTATATTTAATATACCTATACGTCAGAACGAGCCGAAAAGGCAGCGTATGTGTACTATCCTACTTCTGAATATTCACGAATTTATTTAAGTGTTAAACCGAATAAATTGAACGTGGCGCGCAGTGGTCGTACTAGACATGGGTAACGCAGCGCTGCGTTGCGTTAACGCAGTTGTATGCGTTACAGGCGTTGATACACCAGCTGTTACTGTATCAGCGCAACGCAATTTTCGGTACTGAGTCGAAAGGATCGCGAGTTGTTGGTGCGCCATGCGCCAGGCACTGATTCAGTTTTCCGTGACGAGTTGAGAATTTTAATTTACGTAATTGATGCAACTCGTAATGCAGATTACTCAAAATCTATCAAGTAATTATGTTCTTTGCAACATGTCACACCATTTGTAGGATATTGTAGGTCGAATTTTTTGGATTTTAACCTTGTACACTGTCAGTTTTTAGTTCTTCCCATTTTGATTGGGTACTAGTACTAGTAGGTATACAAAAGTTATATCCTTTTTATATAAATTGGAATTTTTGTATTCTTTGTAAAATCCGAACACAATGAAATAAAAAAATGTTATATTTTCGTTTATTTTTAAACATAGGTATAATTAAAAAAATTCAGTTAAATTCCCAATTGCGTTATTGCCTTGAACACGGTTTGACCCTTATAAAAGGACAACCAGGGTTACCAGGTTTTTGAAAGAGATGACGGACAGACAGGGGATTTTAGGGGAAATAGGGGGAAGTAAGAACAACTCGGTCTATTTTTACTCTTTTAATCAAAATTACTTATTTTGCAAGAAATCCTTACCTAATTTTGGTAAAGATACACTGAGGTGATTTTACAAATAATAAGGTGAAAATGTAAAGTTAGAAAATCGAGAAATGGCAAATCGAAATCCAAAGTCAGAAAACATTTTCACCTTATTATTTGATCAGTCTATCTTTACCAAAAAATAGGTACGAATTTTTTACAAAATAAGTAATTTTGATTAAAAAAATAAAAATAGACACAGTAGTTTTTATTTCCGCCTATTTCCCCTAAAATTCCCTGTCTGTCCATCATCTCTTTCAAAAACCTGGTAACCCTGAGGAGAACCCGCGCTGAATAACACCGGTATCATGCGATACACCGAGGTGCATCGACTTCATTCGGCGCAGGCAGTGGTGTGACGCAATAACGCAATTGCGTTAACGCAATGAGTTGGCGCAATAGAGTGCGCCAGAGTTAGTGTATCAACGCAAAGAATTTTAGTGCGTTACCCATGTCTAGGTCGTACTCTCTTATGAAGGGTAGTCTGACTGCCTGGACACGTCTTTATTAATTTCTATGAAGTGATACATTCCTGTCCGTACCATGTTGTCACGTCTTGTACAGGGTAATCTCGAGGTGCGCTAACATCGTCCTCTGGCGGAATAAAAAACTACTACGTATTATAGAGTGTGACTCTACAATGTGTAGTACATCATTAAAAAGGTAATTTTATGGGGAATTTAGAAATATGACTGTTCATTATGATACCTTTAATTGTGCTGCCCTCTATCGGGATAAAAAAACTGTACGTATTATAAAGTGTGACACCTTATTTAAAAGCAAATTTAATTACTAATTCAATGCACCACATAACATTAGTATAAATATCCTCCATATTGTACTTTGAAAATTAGCCATGCATTATTTTAAACATTATTACTAACTTTATTTTGTTGCAAGTGCAATATGGAAATATTTATATTAATGTTATATAGTGAATTGAATTAGTAATTAAATTAGCTTTCAAATGAATACGTCACAGGTTTTTTTATCCCGATAGAGGGCACTAAAATTAAAAGTATTGAAATAAAAAGTCATATTTCTGACTTCCCCGTAAAATTACCTTTTCAATGATGTGCCGTACATGGTACATTCCTTATTTAAAATTAAGGGGTTGGAGAATTGGAAGGGAGGGGGTTCACACATGACAGATGTCTGTATTGTAAAAATATGTTCAATTTTAAATAAAAATTGACCTATTTTAGCATTTTCTAAAAATCCAATGATTAATGCCGAAAAACAGGATGAAACTGTTTTGAGTTACCTACTCTGTATATCCAAAATGGCTAGATTTATCGAATTAGTTTATATAACAAAATCTGCTTAAATTTTTTTTTACCAGACGCGCTATATAAGAAAGATCCTCCCATCGACAAAAAAATATTGAGCGCAGCCCCATCTACTTATTGACCTATTTAAAATTAATTTATATCTAAAACTGAAGCTCTCTTAGCGATCTATAAACTGGCTTTCACAGAATTAAAATCTCTATTACTTACCAAATATCCGGCCTGGGAGTTTTTATTGGTACACCCTGTATAGATATTATATCGGTCAAGATATAGTGTAATTTTTTTTGTCAGTTAAAAAATCAAAAGAAGAATTAACTGATTTAATTTTTTATTTATGAATTCTTAAAAATTAATAGAAAATTATGTTTGTAAAACTAATCTAAATCACTACCTTCAATAGTTCAGAAAGTGTATTTTTGTATTATAACCGTAAAAAATTATATTTTGTTTGTAAATTTGTTGTAAAATCGAATATTTATTATGGGAAATTTTGTGTAATTATAATATTTGTTATTATTATTATTACTTTTTTTTCAGATTACATCGCTAGGTATGGCCGAATGACTGAGGATCACTCTAGAAGTAAATTCTGGCAAATTTTGTCAGCTGTAGAATACTGCCACGATCGTAATATAGTTCATAGAGATTTAAAGGTACGTTTACGTAGTGATAAAACTTAGGAAAATATATCCGGGGTATAGTAGAAACTTATTTCGGTGAGATTCGACCACAGTCATTTTATAGGATTTATTTACCTACTTATCTGAAACGATAAATCAATATACAGATAAGACAATTTTCGCATTAGTACGGGTGCGGAGTCATATCTTCATAATTTTTTAATTAATTAAACATTGAATGATCTGAGTAGTAGCCAAGGATAATAAATATTTCAAAATTTAGTTAATTAAGCACTCAGTGTCTCGGTATGAGTATTGACCTTAAATATCTCGGGACTTAAGGGCTACAGTCAACATTTTAATTTTTAAATTTTTTTGATTAATATAAAAATGAGACTTAACCTAAAGTTAAGTAATCTCATAAGGCTCATAAGGAACAGAAATTAATTAAATAAACCTCTTCCAATATGGCAGCTTTAGTAAATAACTGTCTGAAGTCCTTTGTGTTTTTTTTTTGTGTTTTATGATTTATGGTAGTATATCATGTTTTTTATATTTTTCTTTGTAAATAATTTGGTCTTAACCATAAGTTAAGTAGGTAACTTCTTCCAATTTGGAGGGTGTTAATGGTATATTGCATTTTAACATCTGAGTTTATAAGTGGCACATGTTGATCTATAATTTTGATTTTATGGTTTATGTAAAAAGGTAGAAATTAATATGTTACAATATTTGCTAAATATCTTGCACAAATCGTCCTTCGTCTGGTACCAAGCAAATTACTGACCATCTGTTGTTGAATTTCTTTTTTTTTAGTTTATGCATAATACATATCTGTCATAGACATTTTTTACTTTATTTAGTTATTTGAGTTTATTTAGTTATAACTTCATCATAAGCAGTAAAATAAATTTTCTTATTAAGTACATGAACAATTTAAAAATTTTTTTAACAGTTTGTTTTGGAACATTAATTTTTTTGAGTTTGTTTATTGACAAACATTAGGTTTGTTAGTTTTTTTTTAATATTAATTTTTAAAATTGGTAATATTTGCATAATATAAAGGAACATAAGTTGAGGTTTGCCTTTTATTTTTTCCTCATTTACTGGATTTGTGGAGAAATAAGACATAGTTTGGTCACTATATAGAGACCCAGAATAATATGTATCTAAATAGTTTTTTCTTTTCAGGCTGAAAATCTTTTACTAGACTCTAACAATAATATAAAAATAGCAGATTTTGGTTTTTCCAATTACTACACCGTAGGAGGTCAATTATCCACCTGGTGCGGCTCTCCTCCATATGCTGCACCCGAGGTCTTCGAAGGTAAAAAGTATGTTGGGCCAGAAATAGATATATGGGTAAGTATATGTGGATATTACATTCGGTTCAGTACATATAAATTATTATTAAAATATCTAGTGTTTATGGTAGAGAACGAGATAGAGATAAATTTAGAAATAAGTTACAGCTTCATCATCCCCAATCCCCACGCTGCCTTTTGCTACCTTTTACCTACAATGCCTGCTTTACCCAATTGTAGGCGGTACAGTCAGTCGACTTTTATTAATTGGCTTCAAAAAATAATTATTTGTAAATATATAAATAACCAATATTCATGCAATATGATTAATTAAAAAATAAGCTAGAATTTTTCGTAATCTAATTTAATTAATTCCATAAATTCCTCCAATAATTGAAGAAATTAATAATGATTGTAAAAAATAATACTGTAATCGACTGTAATAATGTTTAATAAATATTTCACTGAAGTAAACACTAAAATAAAATGCATGTCTGATCACAAGAACGATTTATAATCAACTAACACAAATGATTTTTTAATAAAAACCCCAAAAGAATCATTCGGTGATTCAGCCGTTTACAAATACTTGAAACATTATACAAGTTCTATTGCTATCGGCAATCAGCGTCTTATACAGACCGAATATTCCTTAAATTTCATTGAATTTTTGTTATCAAAATAAATCAATATAAATTTTCTCTACTCCTGAGAATCACGAGTGGAATGGGGAAGCCCCTAATTTTATTAAAAGGGCTGAATTTAGAATTTTTGAAGTCGGTTAAAGACAAATTACTTGTATAAATATAAGACCACCCTAAAACAGTCTGGGTAACTGATTTATTTCAAATCATATAACGATATACAAATTAATACTGTAAATTAAAAAGTATTTTAAAAAATATGCTATTAGAGTGGATTAGATCAACATCTAAACAGTCTTGTCAAGTGCTTAATGAGACCATGGCCAAAAAGAAGACTAAAGGAAAACATTTAAGGTGATCTGCTAAACATATTTCAATTAATACTTCAGTTCTATAACTGGAACATAAAATTATTATAATTGGAAGTGTCAATGAACAACTTATTAATCTTTAATTTACTCTGTAACTATGAAGTATTAGTTTGTAAATAAAAATGAGGAAATTATTTTCTGCTTGAACAATTTTTGAATTAGATGTATTAGTCCCTAATTCATTGCTGATGGCAGACATGCTTGTGGGAATTTTCAATGATGGATATTCGCCAGGCATAATAAATGAGGTACATAATAATTATTATTGGGTGTTTTTGATTTCCAAAATGTACGTACCAAATTTGATCAAAATTATTTATACGGATAACGAGATGCCTGAATTTTCGGAACAAAAACTCATTAAAATCCTTACTGTCATCGCTTTTTATTCTTATTACGTAATCATTTTAAATTCATTTTATTTTCTAGAGTTTGGGTGTGGTCCTTTACGTTTTAGTATGTGGAGCTCTACCCTTTGATGGCTGTTCTCTTCAGGCACTTCGAGACAGAGTGCTTTCCGGTAGATTTAGAATTCCTTATTTCATGAGTTCAGGTAAGTTTTATTTTTAATATTTACAAATTATTCTATGTTACAATTATTGATTATTGCGTAATTAACATAGTATAAATTGTTTCTGGTGTATCATTTTACCTGTTTATGGGGCCACCTTCATTGCGTTGCTCTCATTGTTTTGTATTTCTCGATAACATTCTCGTGTCTTCTACTTCTTTTGATTTGTACCCTTTCTTATTTAGCAATGATCTTTGTCTTCCCAAATCCAAGAATATAAAACATATAAATTAATTTTTTCGAAAATCCTTTAGTTTTGAGTAAAATCCTAAAACACGCCTATTCCTTTAAATTTAACGACACCGATGTTTGGTGCCCAGTACCTTGACCTTTGGATTTTTGTAACTCTTATATACGCCAAACTTCCTGAGTGATTTCATAACACCAAGTTGAACAAATTTTTTCTTATTGGACATTTTCGTGCTAGATCTTCGTGAAGTTGTCGTTCTGGTGTTCCTAAGGAAGTCAATACATGTACCTGTAGTTTAATGTGAATCTCCGGATTTTTATATTACATTAACTACATTCACATTCATCTATCAACTTATTTCCACAATTTCCATATTCTCGTCATTGTAAAATTTTAAAATTCCATCACCCTCTTAAAATATTATATATCTTTTCTTTCACTTTTCTCCTCACTCTCTCCTTCTCAGTCAACCTTCGATTTTTCATTATTTTCATACATTCATGCTCATCTATTCAATTGTTATTCTTTTCATTTCTACTTTACATCACTATTATCCCCATTTGATTTTTTCTTTCACATTTATTCTGTCTCTGTTCTATTTTTATTTTAATCTCATTTTTATTCTGACGTATCCTCTTTTCTCTTTCATCCTGTGCCTGTTTCTTCTTAATTTAATTTTTATTTTTCACATTTTAAGGATATTTGATATGTTTTATAAAATACCCATTTTCGAAGCAATTTCAGACAAACGTTCATATGAACTTTTTTTATAAAACAAACCTCTAAAGTTCCCTATCATGTAAGGAAACACCCTGTATATTTTTATATAAAATACACCTTCGTAATAATAATCTAATAGAAACGATAAAAGTATGATTCAACCGAATATATTTATTTTATATGAGAACTGTCTTTAGTTAAAAAAATAAACCAAATCCATACGTGCCTACGTGTGTTAAATATTTCAGCACAACGCAAAATATGAATTACCTGCGATAAAAACAAAAATTTCCCGATATTTATCTAAAAAATTATTTCTGACTCTTTATCTATATTTTCCCAATAAAAGGATATTTATAGCATGTGAAAATAAATTCACTTCCAGAAATATCTCTTTTGCGTCATACAGAGCTAATATCAGATTATAATATTGTGACATGAAAACGGTGTATTTTTCTAACCTATGCGAAATTTTTCGGCTTTTCCTTTCCATGCGCCACTAGTTTTAAAATTAGAAATAAAATTAGTAATATTCGTTTCTGAAGGGGTCGAGAATTAATCGGATTTTAACGTGTTCGAACTCACATGTAACTGACCTATAGATTTAGATTTTCTACAAATAGTCTATCCATAAATAATGACGTCAAGAATTTTTTGTTTGTCAACTCAAAATTTAAGAAAAATCGTGGTATCGGGAACGTTGTTAAAGAGAGTTTTTGTAAGATAGTTGGGAACTATCAGTGGAGAAGGTAATTGGCCGACGAAGTAGCAAGAGGTCATTAAAAATATTATTGAAATTGCAATCATTTAAATAAATAGATTAAGGGTGAGATTACAGAACGTCTGCAACTTTGCAGATCTGCAAATATGGCGGCAACTTTGAAAATCTGCAAATATGACTGACTTACATATGCAAGTATCAAGTTTTCGTATTCCAAATTTGGGTTTAGTGTTGTTGGGGGTATAAACCACAATAAATATTGCGAATTTGCAGATATTTTTTGGAATACTTGCATTTGTAAGTCCGCCATATTTGCAGATCTGCAAAGTTGCAGACATTCTGTAATCTCACCCAAGAAGGTAATTTAAATTGATTTCATTCTGAAAGACGAAATTGGCAAGGAAAAGTACAGTAGGGATACGAGACAGCAGAATAGGCAGAGAGAAGTAAAATGAGGATACGAAAATAGGAGGAAAGGAAGCAATAAAAATTTCAGAAAAACAGTATTTTTTGTTTTAGAAACTATATAAATTATGTATGTAGAAAAATATATGAATATAGAGGATAAAAATATATATCAAAGCGACAGGTTTTAAGTAGGGCTCCCTATGAGCAACCCAAAAAAGTTAGCGTGTTATATTTTTTTCAATGCAATTTAGACCGCAAAAAGATCTTTGTAGAAATCAAATTTTAAAAATTATCTTTAACATTTGAACAAATAACACTCAACCTAAACCGGCTCTGATCAGCATGTTGGCGAACGTTTCAAGAGGTTGCCAGACCATTGCGCCTTCTAGATTATCTTGCAATGGACTATAAACCAAAAGGGTTCTTTAAAAACACACAGGTATTTGTGCCACTAATAGTTAGGGTGCGATTATGAAATGCAATAAATTTGATAAATAACTGACATTTTATTGATATTTTAGCTTTTATTTAACTTCAACTTATTAAAAATATTTAAGAATTCTGTCTTTTAGGATTTTTTTAAATTTAAGGCTATTACCTGAAACGTATTTACAGCACATCAGATAAATCAGTAAGCTCTTATTTTATTTTGGTAAGCTTAAATACAAAACACATTCACCAAAATTTTGAATATTTTTTTTTAATTTTCTCACATAATTCTGTCATTGTCTTTAATTTATTTCTAACGGAAGGTCCTTAATTTTTGCAGGCGCTTGTAGTCTTTGAATTTTGGCATAAGAATGTCATTGAAATTCTTTTAATTTCTCTATAAATATGTATATTTAGGGTGATTAGTGTAGAATAATCCATTAAATTTAGAGTAAAATATTTCACAGGTATTTGTAGTTCTTGTTATTACACTGTCTATAAATATGGCGAGAACTCTGGAGCCTTCTGAAATATACAGGGTGGCTCACGCTCAACGGGACGGAGCTTTATGGGAAAACGACCAAGGATATACAAAATTCGTTTGGGAGGAATACGTAGGTTACAGACGGCTACAATTTAAAATTTGTTAGATGTATACAGGATGTCCCACATAAGAAAACAAAAATTAGTTCATTAAAAATTATTCAAACAAGAGTAAACAATTAATTTCTGGGAGACTTTTTTTCCTTAAGTATTCAAATAAATCGAAAACTAATAATAATAGTAATAGGGAACCTTTAGTTAACTGACATTATTTTTGATGTAGTTTTTAATTCTAAAATAAAAAACAGGGTGTTCCATTAAAAATAATATAACTTTGTATATTTTCTCTTATGTGGGACATCCTGTATACATCTAACAAATTTTAAATTGTAGCCGTCTGTAACCTACGTATTCCTCCCAAACGAATTTTTTATATCTTTGGTCGTTTTCCCATAAAGCTCCGTCCCGTTGAGCGTGAGCCACCCTGTATAACTTGACAAGATAATTGTAATATTCAATTCTACTTGTTCATTTTCTGGTCGTATTCAAAACATTCTCCAACATCGTCTGGGTTTAAATGTGTATTTTAACAACTTTGCTGTGTGTCATTATCCTTCTTATAATGTTCTGTTAGATCAAACTTTTAATTTTTCTGTACCATACTTTGGTAAAGATGAAATCGGACCCAATTAATTTTTAATTTAGGTACCTTATAATGCACTGTGTATGGCCATTGTGTAAGGTGTTTGAATACTTTAAGTCTATAAACACTTCATTTGGATAAAAGTTTAAATTAAAATCCCTTAAAACTTTGGACTCAAATAGAAAATTTAATAATTTTTTATAAGTTTTCGATTGTTTATTTATTAATTAACAAAATATGTAAAGTACATAATGCCAAATTTTAAACCCGTTCACCACTTATAGATCCTTTCTCGGGACTCGCATTGTATCCCTTTTTGGGGTTGGAAATGAGAGAAGGGTGTATATTAGTCTGTTTGACGTCACAAGTGCGTCATTGATTCGTCGAAATTGCCAAAGCCGGTATGTAGCACGAACTTTCGACAATGTTTGAACAAAAATCAACGTCGTTTACATAAGGGACAGATAAAAAAAAATTCGATATTTAAAAAATAAGATCTTTGTATACGAATGTATTTGGAAATTGTATTCTTTAGAATATTTTCAAAAAGGTCATTTTATGGTATGGATCCCGTGTTACAAAAAGTAAGCGATTTAGAAAAATAAATAGAACCATTTAGAATGTGGTAGAGACTTACAAAAAAGTGCGGATTTTGTCAAAATATAAGCATTTTTTTCTAACCTCATTTTGTTATTTTTTTGAATCATGAGTGAATTGTTCGCTAAGTTGAGGTGCGAGTTTTGAAAAAAATTTGTTAACACCCAAACATAATTATTTTCTATAGTAAATTTTCACAAAAAAAATATAGAAAACCAGTATTTTTCAAGAAAAATATAATCGAAAATTGAAGTAATCTAAAACCATACATTTTGTTGTTTAGAAAAATGCAGTGTAACTACCTATTCGCGATTCAAGCTAAGTGATACGCCCTCTGGAGGAAATTAGTAGAAGGTCCCTATAAGTAGGATGACGTTCAGTGTTGCCAGAAGAAGCAAAATTTCGTTACGTCGTCGGATTTTAGTTCTTGAAGAAATGGATAGGACCTTTTATTTAAGAATCAAAATTTGTGTCTAGTAATATGTAATCATACTTTTATTTAAGGATTTTTTTATAAAATCGATTTATTATATTGATTTTTTTTTTAAATTTCAGTTCATTTATTAATTTTAGTTTTAAAATCAGTCAGAGACAAAATCAGTTCATCATTTGGCAACATCGGCGTTCGTGTTCATTGTTTACATTTTAATTTGTATCAATTACAATTAGAGTTTTTTGTTACTTTTTAGCTTTAAATTTGTTTATTTCTGTATGTAGTATGTGTATATAGTATTTAAATTAAAAATGAAATCTGCAAAAAAGCCTCCAGCAAATTGCATTCTATATGGTGTTATTGTCAAAATCAAAACTGAACTATTCATTATTTTTCAAGCGCAAGTCATAAAATTTTGTTTCTTACGATAAATGGGTATCTACAAATTCACAATATTGAAATTTTGCAAAACGTTGTTTAGAATCAAACTCCAATATGAGTTGTGACGGTTTTATTACCATTTACATGTATACAAAGTACTACACAATTCACTGCATGATATAAGAATAAGGATAGTAAGATTTTTAAAGAAGTTCATCAATAATAATCGTTTGGTACCTGATATGTCCTTTAAACCACATAATAAAACATGTCTTGGGTTTAGTAAATACATATTTCTAGATGTTCTTGTAGCAACCAATAGGTCAATATTTCCAACAAATTAGTTCATTACTACACATGAAAAATATTACATTTATAACGAAAGCACGAAAATTAAACTTAAATTAACACTAAATGAAACTCAAAAACACTATTATAATAAGAATATTATCTAAAAACAGTTAAAAAATCACAAATACAAAATCCCACAACACGTAAATAAACAAACATCCTACTTATACGTGACAAATGACAGGCGCGCGAAAATTAATTTGAATCGCGAATAGAGAAACAACATTAAAAAAAATGTTTTTCGTCATGAAATGTACCACACCAAACATTTTATCCCATATTTGCACAAGAAAACATCACTAACAAAAAAAATCATACAGCGTGTCCCGAAATTAGACAGTCATATTTTAACAGCGTAATCTACATCCTAAAATAGGAGTAAAAGTTTATATAAACATAGGTCTGAAAACATTTCTTTTCCGAGATACAGGGTGTTAAAAGTGAAGTCCTGATTACACATTTTTGTAAATATTTTCTTTAGAAAATATTTATTATTTATTATTTTTAAAGATAACAGAGTGAAATTTGGTACAAATGCTTACCTTTTTACGCTCTATTTAATGGACTAAACCACAGTTTTTGATCATCTTCATAGGTGGGTAAATTAGGGGGGGCTTAGGGTAAAATGATTCAAAAAAATAATCTATTAAATTTTAAGATTTCATTCTCAAACGACTTTATTTTAGGCAAAACCACTCAAATAAACCGACCGAATTACGAGCCCGCAGGACGAGTGATTTTATCAATCGGTTTGTTTTCTTGTTTTTTTTTTTTAAATAAAGACGTGTTCGTGGAAAATAAAACTTTAATCTATAAAATTTGTAGATATTACCTTTGATAAAATATAAAGACAAAAACTTATTATTATTATTATTATTATTATTATTATTATTATTATTATTATTATTATTATTATTATTATTATTATTATTATTATTATTTTTATTTTACTCGTTCTCATCGGTACCTACTACTCCGATTATTAGCCTCGGGTTCAGTGTAGGATTTGTGACTATTCCCACGTAACTGTAAGAATAGCACTGTTAATTAGAACCCAACAGTGAATGGTCGAGTGACATAAATAATTTGAAGATAACTAACCCATCCAATTATTTCAATAACTGAAATATTTTATTCCGTATACATATAATGTTATGTTACATATAATAATCCATATACATATAATAATACATACATGAATTAGTCCTCTTCAATGACACTACCCCTTCAAGTTCTTAACTCGAAACCATTGTATGCAATTTGTTTAGACACAAGTTTACACTTTTTCCAATTTTTCAGAAAGCATAATAGTAAGAGGATAGGGTCTATTATTTTGTTTATTAACATTTTGTATATCTCATTACAACATACATTTTTTGAATATAAAATAATTGAAATAATTCTGTTTCAGACTGCGAATCTCTCATAAGAAAAATGTTAGTATTAGAACCGAATAAAAGATACAGTGTTCAACAAATCAAAAAACACAGATGGATGCAAATGGGCGTCCCTCCTACTTTACCTCATACTATTAGTAGGCCGAATTCACAACCAAACGAACAGATCCTAAGGTTGATGCAAAGTTTGGGCATCGATGGAACCAAGACTAGAGAAGTAATTATCACTTACTACCAGTAACACTCGCGAAAGGCTCTATTTCTCTAAAAATTACAAAATGAAATCAAATAGAAACATATACCTAGTCCATTTCATTTAGTTTACACCGTAGACTAGGTATAAAGAGAGGACTCGTAACGTCGCAGGAAATCGTGTTCCATTCTGACACCAATGCTATTTGACCATAGGCGTAACATGTTGGAAATATAACAATAAACATTTGTGTTTTTAGTACTGTATTGATCTTTTTAGCAAGTTCAATTAGGAACAATTAATAAGACACAAGACACGCTCAACGGAACGGCGTCTGGTGGGTAAACTACAAATGACATTAAAAATTCTTTTGACACAAATATACAACTCAACGGCGGCTGCAAATTAAAATTATTTTTATATGGGTGTCCCAAACCAGTACCAATATAAAGTTTTAAATGGGATACCCTATATTTTCTTTTAATTTTAACTTTAACTCTTGAACAAATCCTGTCTTCTTATTATTTCACCATAAACGTTTGAAGACCATTGGTTTTGTCAATCTACAGTTCGAAATTTATGTTTATTTTCGGTGCTGCAATAATGAAAATTATGTCTATTCACAAATCCGTTATTTACGAAAGTAGATTCATCAGTAAATAGTATTTGATAAAAGTAAATATTTAGAATTGTACGATACGCTACTGGAAAAAATTGCTTAAAAGCATAAAATAATCAAATTTGGCGAGTGAGCCATGTACAATATATAAATACCAAGCTGTATAATAACCAAATAGAATGAAAAATATAAGAAAATATATAAATTATAAATGTTTGATGTTTTTATTTACCTGTGAAACGTAATATCTGGTCATGTCTTATCACTACTACTTTTACACTGATATGAAATACAATAAACCATTGTAACAAATTAATTATCAAATATCGTTTAATTCATGTTTTATTGACTTTATATTTGTAAACCGCCAAAATCTTTTTTGTAGTCCCCTTCAAAAATATTAATGTATTAAATATACAAACTAAGCACCACTTCTTTTAAACTTATGAAAATTCCTTTAAAATTTAATGCGCTTATGGACTACTGCTGATTTCTCATCTAATGCCTTACGATTTTCTTCGTTCTTTCGATAGTTTTTAAAGATTTTCATAAAATGGTTCTTTCTAGATTTATTTACAATTCCTTTATTTTTAATTTTTTCGTCAATCGTATCTAACGTTACATACTTTTTGGATGCTCTCATGTTGTAAATGGTATCACGAATTTCGTTCCATCGGGAAAATGCTAAATTTTTTCTTGTAGGATTTTTTAAGTCCCCTTTTGCTCCGTTATGGTTTTTCAGTACCTTCTGAAGTGTTGACTTGCTAATACCAAGTGCTTCCTTGTAGCTCTTTTGTATACCTGAAGCACTTGTATTAAAGGTCCACCATAACTTTTTTTTCGGTAAGGATAATTAAAAACATTTTTAATAATTTTGATAAGTCTGACTTTTCTATAGAAAAATCGAATTCACCATTGCCCTAAACTATTTAACCTATAATATTTTCCGTCTTACTGTTTTTTTTTAATTGCGTCATATCTGAACATCATTCTCCTCTGAATTGAATATCGGTGTAAACTAAATGATTGGACTGTAGATACTAAATTACAATTTTTATTTTAGTCAATTAGGTTAGGCAGCTACGACCACCACGCAGCAATCTACTATCTCCTTTTGGACAAACTACGGAGTCAACTAGTTGGTGGAGAAAATCAGACAGGTGTGCGCGAAGTCCAACGAAGAAGACCATCGAACGTAGCTGAACAGGCAATGCGTAAAATCTGTCGAGCGAGTACAACTGAAGACTGTCGAAGGTTAGTACTAACCTGAGAAAGTCCTATTGTATCCGTTTCTTCGTTAACTTCGATAAAATAGTTATGTTTATTGTTGTATAGATTGCTGCATAATTCTGCTACTGCTCCGACAGCCAGCAATAGCAAGATTTGTACCAAACCGAACAGGGCATATGATTCTTCTCCTTTACACGGAATCGATGCTGCTAAACTTCTAGCTGCGACTAACAGTGAAGAAGCGTTAAAAATTTTAAACCAAGCTAGTTCGAAGGCTTTTAATATTTGCACAGAAGCTACTAAGTTGATGTCAACTCTACAGATGTCGGCTGTACCCTCGCATTCCGTAGATAACTCCAGTTTTAAGGAATATAATCCTCAGGGACATGGAATATCATATTTACAAACTGGAAGCTGTTTACCTTCTTTTGATATTCCTGAAACCAGAGGGTCTATTGGGAGGTTTTCTACAAGGTAAGATTAAGACCGCTAGTTAAAGACCATTCTCTTGACAGATATTTTTTAATAGTTACAAAAGCGCCGAAATCCAAACCCAGTATTCTAGCTCAACCGACGAAGGTGTTGAAACTGATCTAGAGGATCACCCTCAACGTTTCAGCTATGCCTCTTCAAATTCATCGAGCGGCATAATGACGAACTTTAATACATCGAAAAGTTTAAGCCAAAATTTAAGCTGTGATAGTAACTTTGAGAGTTTAGATTACCCGTTAAGCGAGTCCAGTGAACTAGCTAGTAGCCTGCCCAGTTGTACTACCAATGAAAAAAAGTCCGAGCAAGGTAAATAATGGAATTTATTTAACTATTTTCTCATTGCGACAATCATTAAGATCTTTAAAAATATTTTTTTACGATCATTATCCAAAGTAGGCTTTTGCACATTCACATTTTTCGTGGTTTGTCATAATTTGACATTATTGGCGCACGTTTGCCAATTTTCGTTTTCAATAAATAAAAGTAAGCTAATCGATATTTTATAACAAAATGTAGACAAATCTGAATATTTTATTTAAGCATCTAATATTCAAACCCATTTCCCTTAATATTTAAACCATAATTGAAATATTTCAAATAAATTACCCCATTTTCAATTTGCACGTAATTAGACAACACAACTTACAAAACACACGCTTCGCTAGCGGTATCTGTCAAACAAAAATTGTGGTAAAATTTAAATTTGGTCATATCGTGTAATCGTAAAAAAATCTTGTAAGTAATTCGACCTTACGATAAATTGTCTTCCTCCGCTGCGCTTCACGCGGCGGAATCTTCTAGTTCTAAAAGACGTAGTTTTTTTGAATTGCTCTTGTTTCAGTACTTACTTCTGCTAGCGCTATATCTTCTTTATCAACTCATTACACTATATCTTCAAGTGGTGTACTTCAAAAATACAACCCGCTGTCTCATATGTCTAGTTTTAAAACTACTAGAGGAATAACCAGATCACCGGTGGATTTTAGAGAAGGAAGGCGAGCTAGCGATGGATTAGTGGCGCAACAAGTTGCTGATTCAAGCAGAGTGGTTGCTTTCAATTCCCAAAAGTTCACCGAGAAACGTAAAGCTAAAGGTAAGTTTTTTTTGACCATGAATTCATCGAACTCTTCTAAATAATTAAGAAGACTGGTGTACACACTAAATGCGAGGTGAAGAGTGGAATACTGAAGTACGTGTGTAAAAAAATTAAATATTTATTTAATATTTGGCTAAGCGCGTTAAGCTTATAAAGCCTCACTTAAATGATTACCGTTCCACTGCTACATTTATAAATATATGATCTTAAACTATGTATGATCCTTGGTGACATCGTATGTGTTCTTCTAAGTAAGTGGACAAGAATTTATAGAGAATTGTAGTTAGTTCTACTAGAAAAAAAATTTTTACTTATTTTTGTGCTGATATTCACGAAAGCATGCATTTTATGATAATCAAAAAATGTTAAACTTAAGAGCTTTGGCGCAACGGATATTTGATCCATAGGTCAAGTTCTACAACATATCAAAATTTCGTCCAATTCTGACCGAAGGGTATTTTACATTTAATACGTGTCCCCTCCTTTCAACTACGTGTAGACCATAGTTTAAAAAGTTATTTTACTTTCTACAGGTGTGTTAGATATGCATCTTGTTCAACGGGATACTCAAAGATTGCAGACCCCTCAATATCCAGTGAGAGATACTCCTGAAGAAGTGACACCCAGACAGAATCAATACCTGCAACCTAGACCTAACAAGAGGATAAGTTTACCCGATAATTTCAATTACACCAACCCCGGGGTCGAAACTGCCGTTCAACTTCAAACTGCAATGCAACACAGGTAAAGATTGGTTTTAAATAAAGAAGAAACACAAAAATCAGTCCAGCGACCGCTTACCTCCGCAAAACAACTACTACTCTCTCGACAGGTATTAAATTATATCTACAGAAAAACGTTAGAGATATCATTATTTTATTTCCCATTAAAGATTAGCTGTGCTTCTTTGAAATGGAGAATGTTGGTAATTTTTCAAATTACATTTTCTCAAAAGATATTGTTTAAAATACATTTAAACATAACGAATAATTGTAAAATAATTTAATTTAAAAGTGAAAAATATTTGATACAAAAAAATTTAAATTGAACAAAAAATAAAACAGTCAAAGGTCAAAGAGGAGGGTTAATAATTTGACTTACCATGATTTTTTCTAGCTTAGCACATATTTTTTTAAATTCTTCTCCCCCTCTATTATTACTATTTTTTGTATTCGTTTCAGGTTATTACAACAGAAGAGACAAATATTACAAAAACAGTGTGCGATGTCTCACCAGCCTGCTCCTGTCCCAAACTTAGAAACCCCTCATGCTCTGGCAAGACGACAAATGCTCCGACAAGCGAGTTACAAAATAGCTCAACAACAGCCGGTGTTACCTCCCCTTCCTCTGTCAGAAAGTGAAAGTAAGCGTTTTACAGACATTTCATAATTATTTTATTTTATTCTTGTTTATTTATTTATTTATTTATTTATTTATTTATTTATTTATTTATTTATTTATTTATTTATTTATTTATTTATTTATTTATTTATTTATTTATTTATTTATTTATTTATTTATTTATTTATTTATTTATTTATTTATTTATTTATTTATTTATTTATTTATTTATTTATTTATTTATTTATTTATTTATTTATTTATTTATTTATTTATTTATTTATTTATTTATTTATTTATTTATTTATTTATTTATTTATTTATTTATTTATTTATTTATTTATTTATTTATTTATTTATTTATTTATTTATTTATTTATTTATTTATTTATTTATTTATTTATTTATTTATTTATTTATTTATTTATTTATTTATTTATTTATTTATTTATTTATTTATTTATTTATTTATTTATTTATTTATTTATTTATTTATTTATTTATTTATTTATTTATTTATTTATTTATAAGTAGGTATTGTAGATTAAAAACATGACAAATGACAAGAAAAAGTGACAATTGACATAAACTTAAACGATCCGAATTCAGATTGTAATGTTCACAGGGATATTTTTTTAAGTAAATTACTTTATTACGTTGTGTTAATACAACAGGTAAGTAACAAATAGAAGTTTTGCGAGGTTTTGATTTACCTCAACAACTTCTCATGAACGTTGCATTTACGTTGTATAGTAATGTTATTACGTTCCCTTAAAGCATCGAAAGGCTTGGCAACGTTATGTGCTAGTTGGGTTCCAACCTGTCATCCATGACCGCCATAGGAATACTTCCTTGAATCCTCTTTTTTTGAGTTTGTTGTACGTTTTGCTCTCCATATTAACTAAGTAAGCATTTAATACAACAACACAAAACACAATAAATATCGCTGAAACAATATTAATAAATAGTAGATATATATAAATTTCGTAGCAGAAAAAATCGAAAAATTATCACTTCTCAATACTGACACTTAGCTTGTCAAAAACTCATTCCTTTTTTTATAAGTATCGAAACGAAGAGATCAAGATCGTTTTGAATAAAGTCTTCAACCAATGAACGTGTCGATGTCAGACGTGTCAAAATTCAAAACGATACTAGCGCCATGTGATTCTGCGCCTGACCGCAGCGTAACTCAAAGCCATTTCTTGAATCCCAGTGACATCATTACTATACAGGGGATAGGTATATTGTGATAGTACTACTATATGAATAACTGATCCGAAATCGCGTTAGCTATTTTTTTTTACAGCTCCGTGTGTCCGAAATACGTGCTAGATTTAGTCTGAAACCCGATCAGAGAGATAGAGAAAATATTTTATTATTATACAGGGTAGAGTTAGAAATTATGTCACGCAGATGGATTTTAATTTTTAAAATCCAACTTTCTGCCCGCGCGAGAAGATATTAATATTTTATTATTGCGTCTTTATTTGTACATCCCAACATGTATTTTTCTTTTTAGGTAAAGATTTGATGGCATTCCAGGCTCTAGTAGAAGGATCAGGCGAATCATGGAATGTTGTAAATTGCCAAATCGCTGAACCAGTCTCACTGCCTACGCCGTCTTGGCAAAATACGAGTGCTCCTTGGAATCAGGTATCCCAACGTTTGTAGTGCAGTGTTAACTCTTTTATTTTTTATTGAGTTATTTATTAGTGCTTAGTTTTATAGGCATTTTACACAGCTTTTTTAGAAATATACAGGTGTTTTGCTTACTATTCATACTACATGTTATATGTATAAATCCTCTATACATTATGAACATCTCAATTCCTGATAATTACGATAGCATTTTATTTAGTTAAAATTCTTTCACGAATTATTTTCAAAACGGTTAGCTATGTGAGAATTGTTTTTCAACAGGCGCTGTCAAAATTTAAATTTGTCAGTTTAGATCGATAAATACATGTAAGAATTATAATTAATTACATAATGAAAAATCCAGAACAGTATTTTAAACAGATAACAATAGATTAGTGACAACTTATCTAAGAATGCAAACAAAAAATGGGCTAAGAAACTGGTTCTTATTAATAGTAATAGTAACAGTTTTTAGTAATAGATGCAAATAAAGTAAAATTGCTTTTTGGAATAACAAAATTAAAGAAATATCAGGAGGTCTGCTAACCATAAATAAAATATTCTACAAAGTCCTTTAATCACTTAGTGTCTTTTTTGTTTGTCATTTTGACTTCAGGAAAAAGTCACGATCACAGAGCAACAAATTAGGTGAATATAGTTAGTGACAAATTTTAATTTTTGTCCTATACCTAACAATATTCTGTTGCAAAATAAAATATTCGACCTACGACTCTGATAATTTTCGAGAATATTTAACATCAAATGGTCTAGTACTACCCCATAATTTTCCGAGTTCCCAATAGTCACCACCTGTCTCTATATACAGTGTGAAAGATTTTAGGGGGTGGTTGCCGAAGTTATTTTGTTAAATAACAAAACGGGAAAAATCAGTGGCGCAAGTAATAATATTCGGACCACCCCAAAAATTGCACATTTATTCCCTAAAACGTTTTGCAAATTTCGAGCCAATATCTTTAAAACTTTGAAATACCTAATTATTAAAATTAAATTCTAAATATTCTGTATCTCGGAAACGAAGTATATTTAGACCTACGTTTATAGGAACATTTTTAAACAAAATAACTAAAACAACCACCTTCTGAAATGTTTTGTACTTATTTACAAACATACTGTAAAGGGTTTTCTCGCCACAGAGAAAACGTTCTCTTACAAATGGCGCTGATTACGACTGGCTCTCGGGAGTCAGATTATTTATTGTGATTTACTCCACAAATTCTCGGGTAGTTACAAATGGAGATGAAAAATTCCAGGGTTCTAAGATTATGTAGTCCCAGGTAATCGGTAGCCACAAGTGACGGGCTTTAATCGTCGCTTGCGCTTAAAAAGAATATTTTACTAAAGGTGAAAGAAAGCAAGGAATTAGTGCCGGTATTTAACTTTTCGTCGACTTGCTAAGGATTTAAAATAATTTATCTTCTCGATGAAGGAAGGCAACAGAAACTCTAACACCAGTATACCAACGCAGCTAGTCAAGTACGGTATAGCGATTATTATTTATTAAAAATTAAATATTAAAAACAAAACCGACGAAGGAAAAATAACTTCGTTGCAACACTGTATGTTGATAAGTAGTTTGGTACTTTTTTATTCTTCATTTTAGAATTTCAGAAAGCAATTTTCTTTCATTTACCATTTTTTAAATCAGTTATATTCTCAATACGAGCTGGGCTGTCCCATTATAGGCCGGCAATAAAAACTACCTGAATCCGTGTCACTACAGGCCGCAACATTTTTTCACGAAAATCAGATTTCCATTACGGGCTGTCAGCCGATAATCACCTTCAATTTAATATTTGTTTACAACTGCCATATTTAAATCAATAAATAAATAACTGGAAATGTTATTAGGACTTCAGGAAAAACATACTTTTATTATTAATTATTAAATTCTATTCGAAATAAATGTATTTTTTAGTTCTTAAAAGAACTGTTGAGTTCTTAAAAGAGCCGTTTTTAGTAAATCGATGTCATCATTTTATAAATCAATTATATTTAGATAACTGAAGTAGAGCTTTGTCGATATTATGATCTTTCCTTGAATTAATAAATATTTTATTAATTCGTCTGTTTAAATCAATGTATGTAGCCTTTTCAGGCTAATTCGTCGGCCTTTTCGTGGTGTGGCATCCAGGCATAGGTCACCCTGTTATGACTAGATCGATTTTAAGAGTGTTATTGCTTACCCTCAGCCTGTAAAGGACTCTTTGGGCGTCTAGTCTCTTTCCATCCTCGTTTGCTATGTACATTGTAGATTTTTGGTTTAGAGATATCGGTGTCCTCCCGAGCATCGAGGGTTGCACCCTCCCAGGCCTTTAGTGTGGGAACCATCTCCTTTGAACATTGTACACTTTCGCCACCTGCACATATATCCTGGTCTGTGTATGAATTTGTTAAAATACACCTGTGGCCCTCCTATTGAGATACCTTTGTAGGCACTTATGATGGATTCCTCAACAGTTTTTGCTGCTCGGTTTCCATTAGTGTCTCCGGGAAGTCGGTACTCTTTATAGTAGTAAGGGCCTCTTTGGGGATTAACCCTTCAGTTTTGGCCTTTTTTCCCACTCTTCGATCTTCAGGAGGAGTGCTGTCTTCTGATCTTGGCTTTTTTGTGGTTTTCTTATCGACCTGTTTGGTAGCCGAAGTTGTAGGTGGCTTTGCTTGGGATCTGACGAAGTTTTCTTAAGTTATGCCTCTTCTGGCAGTTATAAAGTCTTGGCCAGATTTTACCAAGTTGTTTAGCCATGTTCGGCCGAAGATGACGAAGAATTTGACTTCTGTATTTTATCATTAGATCAATGTCCTCTTCGGAGATGACCCTTCTGAATTTGTTGGGCCTTGTGGATGTCTGTTCAACAGTAGAAGTTTGTCAAAGAGGTTCTTCTTCTATTATTAGGTTTATATTTGTTTTCACGAAGAGCTGAAGAAGGATACGTGGACCCGTCCAAAGCCCCGTCTTAGACGAGCAAGGCTATTTACTCGGGAGGGCGGCAGGTATCCAGAGATACCGGTTGACACAGCTATTTTAAGGCAGGTACAGCTGTTACGCATCTATCGACACGATTTACTGACACCTTAGATTAAGCCTGGTGTTCGTCTTTCTTGGTTAGTTTTCAATGGCTTCTACTTCCAAAAGCATGGCATGTATATACCTGTGCCTTTGACCGTAGGGTCATATCCTTAAACTACAAGCTCCTCCGCCGCGGCAAAGCAAGGGACTCGTGAAGTTAAGATAGGATAGATTATCGCACCTCAACGTCCGACTAAGGTTAGTTGGTGCGGCGGCAGTTTTCGAAAAGGTTTTTAGAGGTTTTTATGCCTCACCCTACTTATATCTGCCACTAGCCAGAGATTCTAAAATGCTGACATTGATTTACTAAATAAAACAGTTCTTTTCAAAACTACAAAATATTTTGAAAAAAATTCGCAGAATAAATATCGCATACCCTAATATCCTAATCGTGGCACGTAATAAAGTCAGGCGGCCAGTACTGGCATCATTAGGATCGCTACCCGTAATGGGAAACGGCCCGTAGTGGGAACAAGCCCAGTTAGATACTTTATAGAATTTTGTTTCTACGATTTCAGAATATTTAATGAATTGAAAAGAAATAAATTTTACGCTGACTTTCAAAATTAGTTTTATATAGTTTATTTACTTTTTTGCCCAATTTTTAGATAGTCCAAATGTAAAAACAATTATTAGATAGCTAACCAGTGTGCAAATAAATAAATGAGTTATAAAAGTCATTTCTAAATTATTATTACCAACTTGTTGCAGCTCTTTAGCTTGTATGCCTTAGAAAAATACAAATTATAAGTTAAGCATAATTTAGAAACGTCTTTGTACCTAATTAATAAATATAAATCAATAGGTGAAACAGATTTTACCTAAGTACCTATTTAAAAATGTATGTCAAACATGACCATTGTTTATTTTTAACCTTTAAATCGATTGTTTTTTAAAGTAATCCATCAGAGTACTAAAGTTAGTCCAATGACAAAATACACGCATGTTTATTTAAATATAAGTTAAATATGAACACTGTTTTTTTTTAAGAGTAATCGTTAGATGAACTGTTTTTATGTGATCAATTAGATAAACAAGAATTTCCACGCAACTGTTTAAAAGCGCAAAAATATTTAAATCAGAAATGGCCACTCAAAACAGTCCTCCCTGTTACCTATTTGGCGGTATTCATTGGATTTTCAGAAAATGCTGAAACAGGTCTATTGTTATTTCAAAGAAGGACATATTTTTACAATACAGACATTTATCATGTGTCAACTCCCATCCCTTTCATGTCTTCAACCCCTTAATTTTATATAGAAAATATAATGAGTTTTTCGGTATGTATCCAAAAAAGTTTTAATTTAATTACCTCTATAAAATTAAATGCAACACCTATGTTTGACTAATGGGTTTAATTTAATTGCATATTTATATGTACAAACATAGGCATTACGCTTAATTTTATATATATAAATTAAATTATTTTGCAAACATGAAACGGTTGAAACGCCTAGAATTTACTATGCAAAGACCTGCAGCTCATTTTCGGTGGCTGAAGTTCTGCCTAATGAGGTGCTAGCCTAAGAATTTAATTAGGCATTCCAACGACCTGTCAAAATGCAACCAGTGGGAACTGACAGTTTAGATATGGCAACCCTGCGGGTTTGTTGGTATTGACAGGGCATTAGCTTTCTACCCCACTCCAGTTCATTGGTCATTACCAACGGGCAACCATTTTGTTTGGAATGCCTAGCATATTTATGGCCCATGAATTTTTATAATAATTGTCAAAACTTTAACATTTAATTAATAATAATAATAATACTCTCCCTAATTCACCCCCTTACGAGTGAATTTTAACCCCAAAAGCTGAGCTTGTGCGGGGAAAGGGACGGCTATTATTATTATTTTTTGCCGTGGCGCTCCGGGGCGACTTAAAGATGATTGATGGTGCCATTTGACTTACAGGTGAGGAAAACCCGGA